GTGCAGAGATTTAATAGTTCGTGTGTGTGTGAATTTTCATCTGAGCTGCCTCCCGGGGTGATCTCTGCTAAAACATTGTTTGCTATACTCCTCCATTTTAGGTGCCTCAAGTTGAAATCTCCTAGTAGTAAGATGTTTGGGCCCAGAGTTGGGAGATTTTCCAGACAGCAGTCAATTTTCTCAAGCTGCTCCTGGAATGCTGGGAAGTTGCATCTGGAGGCTTGTATACTACCACAATGACAAGGTTTTGGTTTTCAATCTTTACCACCAAAACTTCAACTACATCATTTGAGGTGTTTAGTAGTTCTGTGCAAATGAGCGACTCTGACATACAGGCCAACCCCCCTTTGTTGCCTGTTTAGTCTGTTGCATCGGAATACATTATAACCTGGGATCCATATTTCGGTCATAATGATCCTTATGTGGGTCTCTGTGAATGCTGCAAACATTGCATTTGACTCCGTGAGCAGTCCCTTGATGTAAGGAATTTTGTTGTTTTTTGACGGCTTTAGACCCTGTACATTTGCAAAGACGAGGGTTGTTGTATTGGTGGAATTTAGGAGGGTTTTATTTGCTGGCTCTAATATCTGTTGTTCTGAGGTAGAGGCCAATGTCCATGCCTCTGCTCCAGAAGTGTTTTCAGGTAGTGTAGGATTACTGTCAATCTTGCCAATCTTTTTTCCCTCCTGGCCCTAAAAAAAACCTCTGTCCCTGGAGAGGTTGTGGCTTCTCTCTTTTGTTTCCCATAGTCTGGCTAGTCTGCATCTTCTAGTCCCCTTTGGATGATGTGCCTGGCAGTATGCAGTGTAGCAATTTCTTTCATGGACTGACGAATGACACATTTCTGGGTGAAATAATTTACAAGAGGGGAAGTCACACTCTCCTGTTATGTGGGTGTGGCACTTTTTGGGATGGTCAAAGGTGCATGTCCCACCTGCTTTACCAGATATACCATCCCTGCAGATATCCAAGGCATAGTATTTACATAGATTGTAATTCTGTTTGCTAGGATTTATTGTAGCTGTGTTCGCTGCTGGTGCATTTATTTTCCCCGTTTCCTCCCTATCTTTCACCCCTGTACAGACATCAGTGCTTCCACCAGGTTTTGCCAGTAGTGTCGACATAATAAACAATATAAATAACACAAAACCCTGATATATACTCTAGAATGAATAAAATATGTCATTATGTAACAGGTAAAGGTGGCCACAACCACTCCCGCATTGTAGTGGTAAACACTGCCATCTAGTGACGGCCTTTTGAAGCCATCTATTATTATAATTTTCATATAGTATATTATTATTATACATGTATTATTATTATCCTAGGTAGTAGGTTGGTAAACAGCAACCGCCCAGGGAGGTACTACCGTCCTGCCAAGTGAGTGTAAAACGGAAGCCTGTAATTGTTTTACACGATGGTAGGATTGCTGGTGTCTTTTTTTTCTGTCTCATACACATGCAATATTTCAGGTACGTCTTGCTACTTCTACTTACACTTAGGTCACACTACACATACATGTACAAGGCTATACGTATATATATATACACACACACCCCTCTGGGTTTTCTTCTATTTTCTTTCTATTTCTTATTCTTGTTTATTTCCTCTTATCTCCATGGGGAAGTGGAACAGAATTCTTCCTCCATAAGCCATGCGTGTTGTAATAGGCAACTAAAATGCCGGGAGCAAGGGGGCCAGTAACCCCTTCTCCTGTATGTATTACTAAATGTAAAAGGAGAAACTTTCGTTTTTCCTTTTGGGCCACCCCGCCTCGGTGGGATACGGCCGGTGTGTTGAAAGAAAGATTATTATACGTATTATATTACTATTATTATATTATTATAATTATTAAACTATTATTATTATATGTACAGGTCTCCCTCAACATTCGCAAGGGTTAGGGGATCAAGAGCCTCGCAAATGTTGAAAAATCGCAAATGTTTGGTGCCTCAATAACTGTAGGGAAATATAATACAATACTGTTTCCTTAACTTGTTAAACCATGAACAATCATAAAATATATGAAAATGTCATAAATTGTACTAAATACATACATATTATGGTTTAATAACATGTATGTTATTAAATACCACTGCCTCCACCAATACCTCCACCACTTCCTCAACCACTGCGAGTCCCTACTACCCTCCCTCCGACCCCAGGAACTGGCAGCCAGCCCTCCCATCACTGTGTGGTGAGTGTTTTGTTTGTTCATTATTTGCTATTAAACTACAGTATAAATAATGTAAACCCATTCATGACTACATATTGGAAAGGCTATTCAGACAGGTATTGGACGGTGACATGTGTTTACTCTTGAACACAGCAAAGAATCAAACATTTCTGCTACTGCAGGAAAAAAAAAAAAAAATAATAATAATAATAATAATAATAAGTAGAATGACATGGAGAGCATTTAAATCTGTAGGGGAAGGAAGGCGGGGTAGGGGTTGTCCTCGAAAAGGTTGGAAGGAATGGGTAAGGGAGATTTTGTGAGCGAGGGGCTTGGACTTCCAGAAGGCATGCGTGAGCGTGTTCGATAGGAGTGAATGGAGACGAATGGTATTTGGGACCTGACAATCTGTTGGAGTGTGAGCAGGGTAATATTTAGTGAAGGGATTCAGGGAAACTGGTTATTTTTATATAGCCGGACTTGAGTCCTGGAAATGGGAAGTACAATGCCTGCACTCTAAAGGGGGGGTTCGAGATATTGGCAGTTTAGAGGGGTATGTTGTGTATATTTATACATATATGCTTCTAAGCTGTTGTGTTCTGAGCACCTCTGCAAAAACAGTGATTATGTGTGAGTGAGGTGAAAGAGTTGAATGATGATGAAAGTATTTTCTTTTTGGGGATTTTCTTCCTTTTTGGGTCACCCTGCCTCAGTGGGAGACGGCCGACTTGTTAAAAAAAAAAAATAATAATAATAATAAATACGATAGAATTGAAGAAGGAAATTGTACAAAAATATGAGGGAGTGGCTGACACATCGTCAGTGTGGCTCTGTTTATACTGGAGTGAGCATTAGTCTCCGTGCTCTTCCAAACATTTCACAATAATTCATTGTGTTTGGTGCTTGTAGATTGAGTGCGACTGGAGTGGTAGAGGCAGTGGTAGAGGCAGTGGTTGAGGAAGTGGTTGAGGCAGCAGTTGAGGCAGTGGGTGAGGCAGCGGTTGAGGCAGCGGTTGAGGCAGCAGTTGAGGCAGTGGGTGAGGCAGTGGGTGAGGCAGCAGTTGAGGCAGTGGTTGAAGCAGTGGTTGAGGCAGTGGGTGAGGCAGTGGGTGAGGCAGCGGTTGAGGCAGCGGCTGAGGCAGCGGTTGAGACAGTGGGTGAGGCAGTGGGTGAGGCAGTGGGTGAGGCAGTGGGTGAGGCAGCGGTTGAGGCAGCGGTTGAGGCAGCGGTTGAGGCAGCGGTTGAGGCAGCGGTTGAGGCAATGGTAGAGGCAATGGTAGAGGCAGCAGTTGAGGCAGCGGTTGAGGCAGCGGTTGAGGCAGCGGTTGAGGCAGCGGTTGAGGCAGTAGTTGAGGCAGCGGTTGAGGCAGTGGGTGAGGCAACGGTTGAGGCAGCGATTGAGGCAGTGGTTGAGGCAGCGGTTGAGGCAGTGGGTGAGGCAGTGGGTTAGGCAGCAGTTGAGGCAGCGGTTGAGGTAGTGGTTGAGGCAGCAGTTGAGGCAATGGTTGAGGCAATGGTAGGGGCAGCGATTGAGGTAGTGGGTGAGGCAGCGGTTGAGGCAATGGTAGAGGCAGCAGTTGAGGCAGTGGTATTTAATAACACACATGTTATAAATAATAATAGTACATGTTATTATTAACAACGTATTATTATTATTAACATATATGTTATTAAATACCACTGCCTCAACCGCTGCCTCAACCGCTGCCTCACCCACTGCCTCACCCACTGCCTCACCCACTGCCTCACCCACTGCCTCTACCGCTTCCTCAACCACTGCCTCTACCACTCCAGTCACACTCAATCTACAAGCACCAAACACAATGAATTATTGTGAAATGTTTGGAAGAGCACATAGACTAATGCTCACTCCAGCATAAACAGAGCCACACTGACGATGTGTCAACCACTCCCTCGAGGGCTGGCTGCCAGTTGCTGGGGTCAGAGGGAGGGTAGTAGGGACTCGCAGGTGGGGGGAAACTTAAACATGATTTGGCAGCTGGGAATTTGGTGGTTGGGAATTTGCGAATGTGTGAAGCCAGTGAAAGTTGAAAACGCAAATGTTGAGGGAGACCTATTATTATTATCACAATATAAATAACTTGTAATTTTTATTCACACAAAAAATAGAAGATTTACTGTTATGCAGACTACTGCATTATTGTAATAATTGTATAAATGAAGTCAACCCATTCAAGAATGCATACTGGTATAGACATTTGTTTACTCTTGCACATCACCAGAGAATCAAACATTTCTCCTACTCTGAGCTCAATATCAAGGTACTTTTTGTTGTGAAACCAATCAAAATCATATCTATTTCTGTAATATATCTTCCATTCTATCAGATGAGACCAAAAAATGAGAATACAACCATAAAAACCATACGAAAATACCGCTAAGGGGAGGCTAATTGCTGAAAAGTTAACTCCATTATTTATGGTCTGATTTCTTTCATTTTTGGTGTACGTTAAGAAGTATCTTTCCATCATACATTGCCCAAGGTTCAAGAAGATAGTTCAACAAACAAATGAGATCCAATTCCCTAGATCAAGAGCAAGAGCCCCTCACCAGCATCATGGAACATCCCTTGAGGCCCACTCGCTTATGGAAATTCTGTTCACATATGGAAGCAAAAAATCGACTAATCAACTGCTCCTTTGGAAAAACTGGCACGTGGATGCGCTCACAAGTAGAGGTTCCACTGTACAAGTGAGAGAAAAAGGAAAGAAATATACACAGAGAAAGACACAAGTATAACACATTAAAAATATATTTAAAGTATAGTAAATTTATTCTCTATCACATTTCAGTCCTGACTTACCTCCTCCAGAAGAGTAACTGCTTGATGCAGATGATTTTTATGCCCCATATGTACATAAGCTTTGGCTTGTGTTAGCAACAACTTTGTCCAGTATTCCTCAAATTCTTCATTATCAGGTACTGTAACATTTGGATCATCTTCCATTATTTTGAGAGATCTCTTACATGTTACTTCAACACCAGCCCAATCATTAGATGCTTCTTGAAGTTTTAGAAGTATACTCCATCCAAGAAGATTATTCCCAACACGCTCAGCACCTGGTAAAATTAGTAACCAAGAAAAATATTAAAAATATATCTACTGATGAATGTTATCACTTCCCGCATTTATATAATTTACTAGAGGGGCATCTGAGCTGTGATTTTGGCAAGCATCTGGCTAGACAGTGATAAAGCATGTGATGGTTAAAGTGTTTCTTTTTTGGGTCACCCTGTCTTGGAAGATGGGCAGTGTTTTTAAGAATTTTTTTTTTTTAATATTTAGCATATATAGCACACTATAACTATGTAGAAGTTGCTGACCTATAAAATGCTCTTCATTAAATCTCTCCAGTAATAATCTTGCATTATCATTCAGCGTGTTTAAAAATTGTCAGGAAAAAAGCTCAAGAGGTATTACTGAATAATTTAATTAAATACACAAGTCAGTGTAGTATTATTTTTTTTTTCTGGTTACCCCAAGTGACACCTTAAAAATAAATTAAACAACTAAAAATAAAAAATCTTTAAATAAAACTTACCTACTCTAAGGTGTGCCTTAGCCTCGACATGGTGGTCATCTAGCAAGTAAATAATTCCTTGTGCAAGGTTACCCCAAGGTGATGCCTTGTTCAGCCTCAAGAGTTTGGTTACATATTCACTGATGTCTTCTTTGCTCAATGGGAACTCATCTGAAATTTCCATTCATTATATTTGCTCAAATTCTAAAACAGCACTATGTGAACATATGAATGTTCACATAGTAGATGTAATTTATTTTACAGTAAGCCTATTACTTATGACAAACAAATTCCTGGTACTTGCTTACAAGTCAATTGTTTGGAACTTGTAACCCATTTTCCTCAAGACACAGAGTTACAATGCATCATATCTAATATTATGCATTTTTTAACGAAGAACTTTAAAACCATGTACAGTACTCAATTAAGTCATTCTCTTTTTCCTTTCCTTCCTCTTCCTACCATTCCCTCTCTCCTATTCCCTGATACACTTTACATTTGCTCTAACTCCTCCACTGTACACCAGCCCCATTATAATCAACCCTGTGGCTGTATTTCACAAAAAAACAAATACTCAACTCCCCACTGTGCTTCACAACCCACACCAAACCCACACTATACCACCTTCCCACTGAACTCCACCCTAAAATATACTATGCCCCCCCCTCCCTCACACCACTCCCACACTGAATTTCTCCTCCCATATCACACCCCACGTCAAGCACTCCACCCCCTTTCCCAAACCACTCACCATTATGATGAGGATATAATGCATAAGGAGGCGGCTAGATGCAGTGGCAATATCATGAGACCAATGTTTTATGTGAATATTATACAAAAAGAATTTGGAGTGTAGAAATTAGAAGATGGTGTGGGAGTTATGAAAGGATTATTCAGAGGGCAGAGAAGGGGTTGTTGAGAGCCTTCAAAACTAGGGATGCCAAGCCCACGATGACACTCTTCAAATCGCTGTTACTCTCTAGGCTGGAATACTGCTGTACACTAAGGGCCCCTTCAAGGCTTTCGACATTTAGAGATGATGACACAAGGTCATCCCACGAAGTGTTGGAGGGAAGATGTGACAGAGATTTTTAACTGGAAGGGACCTGAGCATCTAGCTGGCATGTTGGAGCATATAGATTGGGGTGAATCAAGATAACAGGTTTAAGGGATTTGCTGTTGGGGTGTAAGCAAGGTACCATTTATCAAGGGATTTAGGGAAACCAGTTAGCCAGAATAGAGTACTGGAGGTGAGAAGTTCGGTGCCTGAACTCTGAAGGAGGGAAAGATATGTTATAGTTTAGCAGGATAACTACTGAATGAATGATGGGGAGTGTTTCCTTATTCAATTCGGGTCACTATACGCACTTTGATGGGAGACAGCTAGTGTGCTTTAAAAAAAAAGTGCCTGGACATACTGCAATATGACAGAATTGGAGACACTAATGGGGCTTCGGGGGTCTTCAGCCTTCTCAAAAATTACATCAGCCCCCTAAAAGCTACCCAAATAAAAACAGTAATGATAACAAAGGTACTTTAAAAGAAGTCTTCTACCCTACCTTACAACCAGATAGACACCCCAAAGCCCTCAGAATAGAAATTCTAGTGCCCTCCCTGAGTGAAGGTGACTTTATGCCTGGATTGGGAGGGAGGAGAGAGGGATGGTTATGTAAAGGAGTTGCTACCTCACCCACTGATAACCTACTATACATAAACATCCACAACTCCCAAACACCAAACAAATTTTTTTTAAATCTTCAGTGCTTCATTAATCTTTACCACGCACATGTAAGCTAAACACATGAATAACATGATTATACACAAAAAGCCATGCATTTGGTGAAAAAATAAGAAGACAAGAATAATTATAGAATCAATGATTATTTACAGATCTCTACAAAGCAAAATAAGAACTTGCCACACTTTTAGAATACTAATATAATAATAATAACATCTTTATTTCTACAAGTACATGTCTCATAAACACACTGGATAACAGGCATATCTTGCTACTTCTACTTACACTTAGGTCACACTACACAGGCATATACATGCATATATATATATACATACACACACACATCAAGGTTTTTTCTTCTTTTTCTTAATAACTCTTGTTCTTCTTTATTTCCTCTATTGTCCATAGAGAAGTGGAAAAGAATCTTTCCTCCGTAAGCCATGTGTGTCATATGAGGAGACAAAAATGCCGGGAGCAATGGACTAGTAATCCCTTCTCCTGTATACATTTACTAAAAAAATGAAGAAGAAAAACTTTATAAAACTGGGATGCTTGAATGTGTGTGGATGTAGTGCAGATAATAAGAAAGAGATGATTGCTAATGTTAGGAATGAAAAGAAGTTGGATGTCCTGGCCTTATGCAAAACAAAGCTGAAAGGGGTAGGCGAGTTTCAGTGGGGAGAAACAAATGGGATTAAGTCAGGAGTAGCTGAGAGAGTTAGAGCTAAGGAAGGGGTAGCAATAATGTTGAAGGAACAGTTATGGAAGGAGAAGAGGGGATATAAATGTGTAAATTCAAGGATTATGTGGATTAAAATAAGGGTTGGATGCAAAAAGTGGGTCATAATAAGTGTGTATGCACCTGGAGAAGAGAGGAGTACAGGAGAGAGAGATTTTGGGAGATGTTAAGCAAATGTATAAGAACCTTTGAACCAAGTGCAAATGTATAAGAACCTTTGAACCAAGTGAGAGAGTAATTGTGGTAGGGGACCTAAATGCTAAAGTAGGAGAAACATTTAGAGAGGGTGTGGTAGGTAAGTTTGGGGAGCCAGGTGTAAATGATAATGGGGGCCCTTTGATTGAACTTTGTATAGAAAGGGGTTTGGTTATAGATAATACATATTTTAAGAAAAAGAGGATAAATATGTATACAAGATATGATGTAGGGCATAATGACAGTAGTTTGTTGGACTACGTATTGGTAGATAAAAGACTGTTGAGTAGACTTCAGGATGTACATATTTATAGAGGAGCCACATATATATCAGATCACTTTTTAGCTGTAGCTACAGTGAGAGTAAAAGGTAGATGGGATACAAAGAAAATAGAAGCAGCAAGTAAGAGAGAGGTGAAGGTTTATAAACTAAAGGAGGAGGCAGATAGGGCAAGATATAAACGACTATTGGACAACAGATGGGCTAGTGAGAGTATACGCAAAGGGGTCGAAGATGTATGGGGTAGGTTTAAGAATGTAGTGTTAGCATATGAGAGGTGTTGACAAGTAGAAGTGATGCAAGGAGGGAGGAGTATATGGAGAGAAAAAGAGTGGTGAAGCAATGTAAAAAGAGAGCAAATGAGAGTGGGTGAGATGTTATCAACAAATTTTGTTGAAAATAAGAAAAAGTTTTGGAGTGAGATAAATAGGTTGAGGAAGCCTAGGGAACAAATGGATTTGATAGTTAAAAATAGGAGAGGACAGTTATTAAATGGAGAGTTAAGAGGTATCGGGAAGATGGAAAGAACATTTTGAGGAATTGTTAAATGTTAATGAAGATGGGGAAGCTGTGATTTCATGTATACAGCAAAAAGGAAAAAAATTTTGTAGGAGAGGGAAGAGCCACTTGTGAGTATGGGGGAAGTTCACGAGGCAGTAGGAAGAATGAAAGGGGGTAAGGCAGCAGGGATTGATGGGATAATGACAGAAATGTTAAAAGCAGGTGAGGATATAGTTTTGGAGTGGTTACCGCTGTTATTTAATAAAAGTATGGAAGAGGGTAAGGTACCTAGGGACTGACAAAGACCATGCACAGTTCCTTTTCATAAAGGCAAAGGGGACAAAAGAAACAGCAAAAATTATAGGGGAATAAGTCTGTTGAGTGATGGTAGGATTGCTGGTGTCTTTTTTCTGTCTCATAAACATGCAAGATTTCAAGTAGGTCTTGCTACTTCTACTTACATTAAGGTCACACTACACATGGAAATGAATGGTATAAAATACTGACATAATGGATATATATACTTAAGCAGTAAAATGTGATCCTTTATTGAAAACGTTTTTCCCATGCAGTGGGCTTTATCAAGTCACAAACAGATCTGTTTGTGACTTGATAAAGCCCACTGCATGGGCAAAACGTTGTCAATAAACAATCACATTATACTGCTTAAGTGTTTATTTTTCCACGCTACACATGCATGGTCAAGCATATATATATAAAGACCCTTCTTGGTTTTTTCTATTTTTCTTACTAGTTCTTGTTCTTGTTTATTTCCACTAATCTTCATGGGAAAGTGGAACAGAATTCTTCCTCCAAAAGCCATGCGCTTCACAAGGGGCAATTAACCCCTTCTCCTGTATATATTACTGAATGTAAAAGGAGAAACTTTTGTTTCTCCTTTTAGGCCACCCCACCTCAGTGGAATACGGCCGGTGTGTTGAAAGAAGTCTGTTGAGTTCTAGGTAGTAGGTTGGTAGAAAGCAACTGCCCGGGGAAGTACTACCGTCCTGCCAAGAGAGTGTAAAACAGAAGCCTGTACTTGTTTTACATGATGGTAGGATTGCTGGTGTCTTTTCTCTGTCTCATAAACATGGAAGATTTCAGGAATGTCTTGCTACTTCTACTTACACTTAGGTCACACTACACATACATGTACAGGTATATATAAACACACCTGGGTTTTCTTCTACACATATTTTCTTGCTAGGTCTTGTTCTTGCTTATTTCCTCTTATCTCCATGGGGAAGTGGAACAGAATTCTTCCTCTGTAAGCCATGCATGTTGTATAAGGTGACTAAAATGCCTGGAGCAAGGGGATAGTAACCCCTTCTCCTGTATAAATTACTAAATTTAAAGAGAGAAACTTTCGTTTTTCTTTTTGGACCACCCTGCCTTAGTGGGATACAGCCAGTTTGTTGAAAGAAGAAGAAGTGGTCTGTTGAGTATATCTGGTAAAGTGTATGGCAGAGTTATTATTGAAATAATTAAGACTAAGACAGAGAGTAGAATAGCAGATGAACAAAGAGGCTTTAGAAAAGGTAGGGGTGTGAAGACCAAGTGTTAACAGTGAAACAAATAGAACAATATTTAATTAAAGGTAAAAAGGTTTTTGTGGCATTTATGGATTTGGAAAAGGCATATGACGGGGGATATAGGGAAGCAATGAGGCAGACGTTGTAAATGTATGAAATAGGAGGTAGGTTAGTGAAAGTAGTGAAAAGTTTTTATGAGAATAGTGAGGCTCAGGTTAGAGTATGTAGAAGAGAAGATTATTTCCCAGTAAAAGTAGGACTAAGACAAGGATGTGATGTCACCATGGCTGTTCAATACATTTACAGATGGGGTTGTAAGAGAAGTGAATGCTCGGGTGTTGGCAAGAGGTGTGGGATTAAAAGATAAAGAATCTAACACAAAGTGGGAGTTGTCACAGTTGCTCTTTGCTGATGACACTGTGCTTTAGGGAGATTATGAAGACAAGTTGCAGAGGTTGGTGGATGAGTTTGGTAGGGTATGTAAAAGAAGAAAATTAAAAGTGAATATAGGAAACAGTAAGGTGATGAGGTTAATAAAAAAATTTAGTTAATGAAAAATTGGTTATCAGACTGAAGGGAGAGAACATAGAGGAGGTGAATGTATTCAGATATTTGGGAGTGGACCTGTCAGTAGATGAATCTATGAAAGATGAGGTGAATCATAGAATTAATGAGGGAAAAAAAGGTGAGTGGTGCACTTAGGAGTCTGTGGAGACAAAGAACTTTGTCCATGGAAGCAAAGAGGAGAATGTATGAGAGTAGAGTTATACCAATGCTCTTATATGTCTGTAAAACATGGGTGGTGAATGTTACAAGAAAGAGAAGGCTGGAGGCAGAGGAGATGTCATGTCTGAGGGCAATGTGTGGTGTGAATATAATGCACAGTTCGTAGTTTGGAAATTAGGCGGAGGTGTGGGATAACCAAAACTATTATCCAGAGGGCTGAGGAGAGGTTGTTTAAGTGGGTTTGGACATGTAGAGAGGATGGAACAAAATAGAATGACTTTGAAAATGTATATATCTCTAGTGGAGGGAAGGCGAGGTAGGAGTCGGCCTAGGGAAGGTTGGAGGGAGGGATAAAGGAGGTTTCGTGTGCGAGGGGCTTGGACTTCCAGGAGGAGGGGGGTTAATGTTGCAGTTTTATAACTGTAGTGTAAGTGCACCTCTGGCAAGACAGTGATGGAGTGACTGATGATGAAAGTTTTTCTTTTTCAGGCCACCCTGACTTGGTGGGAGACAGCCAATGTGTTATTAAAAAATAAAAAATTGTCAAACTTAATGCAGACAGAAATTCAGATATATTTTTATGGCTTAGAAATATACACTCATGGCTGAGAAATATGAAAGGTACTCTATATATTAGAAAGAAAAATATGATCTTCATATGGATAATCAGAATTACTGTAGAGTATATAATTTTTTTTACAGCCTCTCCTCACTTAACGACAGAGTTCCGTTCCTAAGAACACATTGGTAAACAAATTCGTCGCAAAGCAAGGAGCATACTATAATGGTAGTGGGTTTGTGTCAACCATCTCTGATATTGTTTTAATGTCACCTTTGCACAATTTATAACATTTTTAGTATATTTTTCAAAATTCATACAGTATTACAAATATTTTTTTTTATTAACACATCGGCCGTTTCCCACCAAGGCAGGGTGGCCCGAAAAAGAAAAACTTTCATCATCATTCACTCCATCCCTGTCTTGCAAGAGGCATGCTCACACTACAATTTTAAAACTGCAACAATAACACCCCTCCTTCAGAGTGCAGACACTGCACTTGCCATCTCCAGGATTCAAGTCCAGCCTGCCGGTTTCCCTGAATCCATTCATAAATGTTACCTTGCTTACACTCCAACAGCACGTCATCCTAAAAACTATTTGTCTCCATTCACTCCTGTCTAACACCCTCATACACACTTGCTGGAAGTCCAAGCCCCTCGCACGCAAAAACCTCCTTCATCCCCTCCCTCCAACCTTTCCTAAGCCAACCCCTACCCCAGCTTCCCTCCACTACAGAACTGTATACTCTCGAAGTCATTCTATTTCATTCCATCCTCTCTACATGTCCAAACCATCTCAATAACCCCTCCTCAGCCCTCTGCATAATAGTTTTGGTAATCCCACACCTTCTAATCTCCAAACTACGGATTCTCTGCATTATATTCACACCACACATTGCCCTCAGACATGACATCTCCACTGCCACCAGCCTTATCCTTGTTGCAACATTCACAACCCATGCCTCACACCCATACAAGAGCGTTGGTATAACTATACTCTTATATATTCTCCTCTTTGCTTTCATGGATAGAGTTCTTTGTCTCCACAGACTCCTCAGTGCACCACTCACCTTTTTCCCTTCGTCAATTCCATGATTCACCTCATCCTTCATTGACCCATCTGCTAACAAGTCCGCTCCCAAATATGTAACTGAACACGTTCACCTCCTCCATACTCTCTCCCTCCAATCTGATATCCAATCTTCCATTATCTATTTTTTTTGTTATCCTCATCACCTTCCTTCTTTTACATACCCTACCAAACTCATCAACCAACCTCTGCAACTTCTCTTCAGAATCTCCCAAAATCACAGTGTCATCAGCAAAGAGCAACTGTGACAACTCCCACTTTGTGTTAGATTCTTTATCTTTTAACCCCACACCTCTTGTACTCACACCTCTTTTAACCCCACACCCGAACATTCACTTCTCTTACTATTCCATCTATAAGTACATGTATATTAAACAACCATGGTAACATCACACATCCCTGTCTAAGGCCTACTTTTACTGGAAAATAATCCCCTTCTCGCCTACATACTCTAACCTGAGCCTCACTATCCTCATAAAAACTCTTCAACGCTTTCAATAACCTACCTCCTATTACATACATTTGCCACATCTGCCACATTGTCCCCCTATCGACCCTATCATATACATTTTCCAAATCCATAAATGCCACAAAAACCTCTTTATCCTTATGTAAATACTGTTCACCTATGTGTTTCACTGCAAACACTTTGTCTACATACCCCCTACCTTTCCTAAAGCCTCCTTGTTCATCCGCTATCCTGCTCTCCGTCTTACATATAATTCTATCAATAATAACTACCATTCTCTTCTGTCCCCTTTGCCTTCATACAAAGGAACTATGCATGCTCTCTGCCAATCCCTAGGTACCTAACCCTCTTCCATACATTCATTAAATGAAAACACTAACCACTCTAAAACTATATCCCCATCTGCTTTTAACATTTCTATCTTTATCCTATCAATCCCAGCTGCTTTACCCCTTTCATTCTACTCACTGCCCCACGCACTTCCCCCACACTCACAACTAGTTCTTCCTCACTCCAATAAGATGGTATTATACAGTAGTGTACTGTATATTGTAATAAACAGAATAGAGGAAATCACTTGTAATATACATTATTTAGGTATGCACACTGGTCAGAGAACTCGTTGTAAGTCCGAGTCGTCAGTAAACGAGTACATCACTAAGTGAGGAGCGGCTGTATTTTTATACAACAAAGAGTTTACAATTAAAACATTTAAGCAGCCTTACCTTCATTATTTGGAGTGGCAGTCATTTCAACGTACATACGGCAGATCCATTCTAGAGGATAATATGTTGGGAAAATTGTAGCCATTTTCTGAGCAGCTACAACAAGGTTTCTCAACTGTTTTGTCCGATATAAGAGCCGCAAATATATCTGGTAGTTACTTTCATTGTCTCCCAACACAGATTCATTCAAAAGGTGTTGTAATGCTTCTTGTAACTGAAAAAAAAATTGCTTATTGCACTCAACCTATTTATACATCTGATATTTTTTTTTTTTTCAACAAGTCGGCCGTCTCCCACCGAGGCAGGGTGACCCAAAAAGAAAGAAAATCCCCAAAAAGAAAATACTTTCATCATCATTCAACACTTTCACCTCATTCACACATAATCACTGTTTTGCAGAGGTGCTCAGAACACAACAGTTTAGAAGCATATACGTATAAAGATACACAACATATTCCTCCAAACTGCTAATACATGTATCCCAAAACCCCTCCTTTAGAGTGCAGGCATTGTACTTCCCATTTCCAGGAGTCACGTCCGGCTATATAAAAATAACCAGTTTCCCTGAATCCCTTCACTAAATATTACCCTGCTCACACTCCAACAGATCGTCAGGTCCCAAATACCATTCGTCTCCATTCACTCCTATCGAACACGCTCATGCACGCCTGCTGGAAGTCCAAGCCCCTCACCCACAAAACCTCCCTTACCCATTCCTTCCAACCTTTTCGAGGACGACCCGTACCCCGCCTTCCTTCTCCTACAGATTTAAATGCTCTCCATGCCATTCTACTTTGATCCATTCTCTCTAAATGACCAAACCACCTCAACAACCCCTCTTCAGCCCTCTGACTAATACTTTTCTTTACTCGACACCTTCTCCTAATTTCCACACTCCGAATTTTCTGCATAATATTTACACCACACATTGCCCTTAGACAGGACATCTCCACTGCCTCCAACCGCCTCCTCACTGCTGCATTCACAACCCAATCTTCACCCATATAAGAGTGTTGGAACTACTATACTTTCATACATTCCCTTCTTTGCCTCCATAGATAACATTTTTTGATTCCATATATACCTCAACGCACCACTCACCTTTTTTCCTTCATCAATTCTATGATTAACCTCATCCTTCATAAATCCATCCGCCGACACGTCAACTCCCAAGTATCTGAAAACATTCACTTCTTCCATACTCCTCCTCCCCAATTTGATATCCAATTTTTCTTTATCTAAATCATTTGATACCCTCATCACCTTACTCTTTTCTATGTTCACTTTCAACTTTCTACCTTTTCACACACTCCCAAACTCATCCACTAACCTTTGCAATTTTTCTTTAGAATCTCCCATAAGCACAGTATCATCAGCAAAAAGTAACTGTCAATTCCCATTTTGTATTTGATTTCCCATAATTTAATCACACCCCTCTCCCGAACACCCTAGCATTTACTTCTTTTACGATCCCATCTATAAATATATTGAACAACCATGGTGACATTACACATCCCTGTCTAAGACCTACTTTAACCGAGAAGTAGTCTCCCTCTCTTCTACACACCCTAACCTGAGACTCACTATCCTCATAAAAACTCTTTACAGCATTTAGTAACTTACCACCTATTCCATATACTTGCAACATCTGCCACATTGCTCCCCTATCCACTATCATATGCCTTTTCTAAATCCATAAATGCAATAAAAAGTTCCCTACCTTTATCTAAATACTGTTCACATATATGCTTCAGCAGAAGTTTGTGGTCACAGGAAAGTGGGTGCGGGAGGGAAGAGGAGCGATTGGTGGAATGATGATGTAAAAAGAGTAGTAAGGGAGAAAAAGTTAGCATATGAGAAATTTTTACAAAGTAGAAGTGATGCAAGGAGGGAAGAGTATATGGAGAAAAAGAGAGAGGTTAAGAGAGTGGTGAAGCAATGTAAAAAGAGAGCAAATGAGAGAGTGGGTGAGATGTTATCAACAAATTTTGTTGAAAATAAGAAAAAGTTTTGGAGTGAGATTAACAAGTTAAGGAAGCCTAGAGAACAAATGGATTTGTCATTTTAAAAATAGGAGAGGAGAGTTATTAAATGGAGAGTTAGAGGTATTGGGAAGATAGAGGGAAATTTTGAGGAATTGTTAAAAGTTGATGAAGATAGGGGAAACTGTGATTTCGTGTACAGGGCAAGGAGGAATAACATCTTGTAGGAGTGAGGAAGAGCCAGTTGTGAGTGTGGGGGAAGTTCGTGAGGCAGTAGGTAAAATGAAAGGGGATTCATGGGATAAAGATATAAATGTTAAAAGCAGGTGGGGATATAGTTGAGTGGTTGGAGCAATTATTTAATAAATGTATGGAAGAGGGTAAGGTACCTAGGGATTGGCAAAAGAGCATGCATAGTTCCTTTGTATAAAGGCAAAGGGGACAAAAGAGAGTGCAAAAATTATAGGGGGATAAGTCTGTTGAGTATACCTGGTAAAGTGTTTTGGTAGAGTTATTATTTTAAAGAATTAAAAGTAAGACTGAGAATAGGATAGCAGATGAACAAGGAGGCTTTAGGAAAGGTGGGCATGTTTTGGACCATTTTTTACAGTGAAACATATAAGTGGAACAGTATTTAGATAAGGCTAAAGAGGTTTTTGTGGCATTTATGGATTTGGAAAAGGGGTATGACAGGGTGGATAGGGGGGCAATGTGGAGATGTTGCAGGTGTATGGTGTAGGAGGTAGGTTACTGAAAGCAGTGAAGAGTTTTTACGAGGATAGTGAGGCTCAAGTTAGAGTAAATAGAAAGAGGGAAATATTTCCCAGTAAAAAATAGGGCTTTAAGACAAGGATGTGGGGATGTCACCGTGGTTGTTTAATATATTTATAGATGGGGTTGTAAGAGAAGTAAATGCGAGGGTCTTGGCAAGAGGCGTGGAGTTAAAAGATAAAGAATCACACATAAAGTGGGAGTTGTCACAGTTGCCTCTTGCTGATGACACTGTGCTCTTGGGAGATTCTGAAGAGAAGTTGCAGAGATTGGTGGATGAATTTGGTAGGGTGTGCAAAGAAGAAAATTAAAAGTGATACAGGAAAGAGTAAGTTATGAGGATAACAAAAATATTAGTTGATGAAAGATTGGATATCAGATTGGAGGGAGAGAGTATGGAGGAGGTAAATGTATTCAGATATTTGGGATGGGACTGTCAGCGGATGGGTCTATGAAGGATGAGGTGAATCATAGAATTGATGAGGGGAAAAGGGTGAGTGGTGCACTTAGGAGTCTGTGGAGACAAAGAACTTTGTCCTTGGAGGCAAAGAGGGGAATGTATGAGAGTATAGTTTACCAACACTCTATATGGGTGGTGAAGCATGGGTGATGAATGTTGCAGCGAGGAAGGCTGGAGGCAGTGGAGATTCATGTATAGGGGCAATGTGTGGGGGTGAATATAATGCAGAGAATTCGTAGTTTGGAAGTTAGGAGGAGGTGCGGGAAAACCAAAACTTGTTGTCCAGAGGGCTGAGGAAGGGTTGTTGAGGTGGTTCGGACATGTAGAGAGAATGGAGCGAAACAGAATGACTTCAAGAGTGTATCAGTCTGTAGTGGAAGGGGGGCAGGGTAGGGGTGGGCCCTTTGGAAAGGTTGGAGGGAGGGGGAAAGGAGGTTTTGTGTGCGAAGGGCTTGGACTTCAGCAGGCGTGCGTGAGCGTGTTTGATAGGAGTGAATGGAGACGAATGGTTTTTAATACTTGACGTGTTTTGGGAAAGTGTGAGCAAAGTAACATTTATAAAGGGGGTTTTCGGGGAAACCGGCAGGCCGGACTTGAGTCCTGGACATGGGAAGTACAGTGCCTGCACTCTGAAGGAGGGGTGTTAATGTTGCAGTTTAAAAACTGTAGTGTAAAGCACCCTTCTGGCAAGACAGTGATGGAGTGAATGATGGTGAAAGTTTTTCTTTTTCGGGCCACCCTGCCTTGGTGGGAATCGGCCAGTGTGATAATAAAAAATAATAAATAATATATGCTTCAATGTAAACACTTGATCTACACATCCCCTACCCACTCTGAAACCTCCTTACTCATCCGCAATCCTACATTCTGTCTTGCCTCTAATTCTTTCAATAATAACCCTACCGTGCACTTTTCCTGGCATACTCAATAAACTTATTCCTCTATAATTTTTACAATCTCTTTTGTCCTCCTTCCCTTTATATAAAGGGACTATACATGCTCTCCGCCAATCCCTAGGTACCTTCCTCTCTTTCATACATTTATTAAACAAAAGTCCCAAACCCAACTCCAACACTAGATCCCCCCTGCTTTTAACATTCTGTCATGATTCCATCAGTTCCAGCTGCTTTACCCCCTTTAAATCTCCGAAATTTGCTCGCGTACCTCCCCCACACTTACATTCTGCTTTCTTCACCCCTAAAAGATGGTTATACCTCCCTGGCCAGTGCATGAAATTACCGCCTCCCTTTCTTCAAAAATTTATAGGTTCCTCAAAATTTCTCGCCATCTACCTAATACCTCCCTCTCCCCATCTACTAACTCCCCTACTCTGTTTTTAACTGACAAATCCATACGTTCCCTAGGCTTTCTTAACTTGTTTAACTTACTTCAAAAATTTTCTTTTTTCATTAAAATTTCTGACAGTGCCTCCCCCACTCTATCATCTGCTCTCCTTTTGCACTCTCTCACCATCTCTTCACCCTTTCTTTTACTCTCCATATACTCTGCTCTCTTATAACACTTCTGCTTTGTAAAAAACTCTCATAAGCTAACTTTTTCTCTTTTATCAAAACCCCCTTTTCTTCATCATTCCACCAATCACTCCTCTTTTCCCCCTGCCCCCACCCTCCTATAACCACAAACTTCTGCCCCAATTTAATACTGCATTTTTAAAACTCATCCAACCCCCTTCAACCCCCCCCCCCCACACTACTCATCTTTGCACTAGCCCACCTTTCTGCCAATAGTCGCTTATATCTCACCCGAACTTCCTTCTCCCTTAGTTTATACACTTTCACTTCCCTCCTACTTGTTGTTGCCACCTTCCTCTTGTCCCATCTACCTCTTACTCCAACTGTAGCTGTAACTAAAAAAATGATCCGATATATCAGTTGCCCCTCTATAAACATGTACATCCCGGAGCCTACCCCTTAACCTTTTATCCACCAATACATAATCTAACAAACTACTTTCATTACGTGCTACATCATACCTTGTATA